ATAGCAGATGTAGACATTCTATACATTATCCTAAAATTTTGGTATAATAAGCATTTGAATTAGATCATCACTGTGTTTTATTAAGGGTTGCAGGTGCCAAACAGCACCTGAGGTAAAACAACATATAAGCAAAAAAAAACTAATAGGAATTCAAGATAATTGATACACAAGAGACAATAAAAAAGAAAGAAAAAGAAAAAAGGTTTTCACATTGATAAAAGGTACAACCTACAGTATAAGAATAATGATTTTTAGATATTAACTAACAAATTCTATAAAACAATTGATTTTAAATGAGGATAAATAGAGTTGAAAATAGCAGGAGACAACCCAGTACTATCAGGTACAATATAGGCCAAGTACACACAAAAAGATATGGATTTTATTTCAAATATAATTAACAATACTAAATTTGGTCATGAATCCAATGCCTTATATTGAAGTATATACTGTGTTTCTTTGTCTAGGATTCATGAGATATTTTCAAATATCAGTAATAAATGAAACTTCAGTAATATCCAAAAGGAAAATAATTGCATAGATAACATTCTCTAGTCCAAATTTATGACTGGAAATTAATGCTGACAAACTAGGAAGACATTCCAACTACCTAAAAATTTAATCTCTTTAAATTGAGGTTAGGATTATATGGAAAGCAACTGTGTAACTCTACTATGTCTTTTATAAGTAACTCAAAATTTCACTTAATGGAACTTAATGGAGTATTAAAAAACTTAAATCAACAGCATCATGTATACATCTGAATCTTTATGCAGTACGGGAAAATACTTAGAAGTGAAATGTCAGCCAGCAAACATGGACTCTCTGGAAAGGGCACAAAAGTTAAGAACAAGGCGTGAGAAATCCAAAAGGACTGGGTTCAAATCTGTCTCCAATTCTAACTGCCTTTAGTCATTTCATTTGTAAAAGAGTAATTTAAACAAAAACTTTATTAAGTTTGGGATGGAATACAGCGTGTTCCAAAGTGCCTTGCTCACAATAAGCACTTAAGTCAGTGTACCCATCACTAGTAAAAACAGGATCCCGCTGGGGGAACACTAGTAATGTTTCCTTGATTAGATAACATCTGCTGCCCAAGAACCAGGACGTTCTTAACAAGACACTACAAGACGTTCTTAACACAGACACTACTATGGTAAGGAAACTCTTGGAGCAACCGGCCATCCGCCTTCCGCGGAGCTAAGTGGCCCTTTCCACGTTTAGAAATGCTGCAGCTGGAGGTGGTTAGTGTTGCTAAGCCCTCCTTTTGGGGGAAGAGAGCGGGGCGAGTGTCCTAAGGCACCGACTTCAGTCTCTGTCTCGCCTTACTAGCGGCCCCTGCTGGCCCTTACGTATGCAGTTCTCCGGGTGCTCAGCCCTTTCCTAGCCGAGGTAGAGCGGCCTCAACAGGCCACCCCTTTACCGGCTGCACTGCGTGGTCACTCGGCAGGATCACACCACTACAGAGCTCTCTCGCCCACCTCCTTCTAGAGCACCGCGAGAGACTCTCAGCAAAGAGTTCAATCAAAATCCTGGGCTTATCTCCTATCGGCAATGGGTCGCGTGTGACAATCTCCTGAGCGGTTCTGACCACTAGCACATGGTGGCCTCGGACTCCCGGCAACTTCAGTGCAGGTGGAGAAGACCTGGATTTTCTTGAACGCGGGAGACGTAGCGCCCGCCCGCTCTAGGACCCCCACCCGCCGTGCAGCTGACTTTAAAATGCAGCTAGCCCACGGGAACTGCAGAGACTCCCGAACTTCGGCCGGGTCTTGGGTTTCTTTCGCCTCGCTTTGCCGCCTAACATCTAGCTGTGCTAGGTCACCTCTCACTCTAAAACTTCAGCAAAGGAATAAAACCTTCACACCCGGAAAGAGTCTTAACGCGCCACACCTGAGGGGCATCTGGTGCTGAAAGGTTATGGCTGCTTCTTCCCGTAATACACCGCGACCACTCGCCTCTGCGCCTACCCGGTGGGTTACAACGCGAGAACCCGCCCCTGACGCCAGACGCTTTTATCCAATGGGAAGGGGCAAGTCGGCTCACCCTTATTTACATACCAACCACTATATATACTCCGGGAGGGAGGATTGAGGCGCCAAGAGCTGAACTGCTCTTAAGAAGTAGGTCTGCTAACGTAGACGTCTACGCTCAAGTTGCCTGTGCCCCCCACTTCCCCCCCCAGGAGTAATTTCCCAGGCTGTCCCAAGGCAGAGGGGACCCCAGCCCATAGACCTAATGCTTTTGGCCAACTTATGTCACACCTAACCCAGAGCAATTGCCTCCGCTGCAAACGTCCCACATCTAAGACACCGCTCTACCGTACCCAACCTGACGCTTGCAGGGTGGTGTTTACAGCTCTTTTCTTGACGCTTTGGGGCCCTGAAAAGGGCCTTTGAGTGGAGGGGACGCTGTGGAGACAGCTCAACCGCCAAAGCCGTACAGAGTGCGGCCCTGGCGTTTCAGAGCGTAGACCACGTCCATGGCTGTCACTGTCTTGCGTTTGGCATGCTCCGTGTAAGTCACCGCATCGCGAATCACGTTCTCCAAAAAAACTTTGAGAACTCCTCGGGTCTCTTCGTATATCAGCCCAGAGATGCGCTTGACGCCCCCACGACGGGCCAGGCGGCGAATAGCTGGCTTCGTAATGCCTTGGATGTTATCTCGTAAGACCTTCCGGTGGCGCTTGGCGCCTCCTTTCCCAAGCCCTTTGCCTCCTTTCCCGCGCCCAGACATTTTAAAAGCACTACAGCACGGTCCAACTAGAAGAGCAGCAGTGAGCAGGTCTGGGTCACGGTTGGAGTTTATATTTCCTTGTAGCGGACCTGTTTGAAGACCTCAGGGAAGTGGGAGGGGCTCCAGGCCCCGCCTTTGGAGCTTTCTTTTAATCACTGCCATTTTAGAAAAGTAGTTAGCAAAATAAAGCCGATTTCCTTTTGTTTGCTTTTTTTAATTTTTAAAAATATTTTTGAAAAATTTGCCATGAATTTGAAGACGGATTAACAGTGTTATATTTGAAGGTTTAAACAATATAAGATAATAGAATTTGTATTGCCCTTTCTCACCGCTTAGATAAAATGCAGACAGAATTCTATGCTTGCTTGTTCTCTGACTCTGACTCTCCCTTCTTCTCAGCTGGCTAATTCTGTTGTTTGTTTATTTGTTTATTGTTTTCCAAACGGAATGCTTATGCTTATGATACCATAAGCTTATGCTTATGAACTAGTGAAAATAAGTAAAACTAGAAACACTTTACATCTTATAGTAATTACTTTACAAATACTCATGTTATCTTTTTAAAAATACTACAGTGAAAATATTTTGATGGTTCTCTCTCTCTTTAAAAGATGAATTAAAAGAGACTTGAGAACACTGCCTGTATGATTGGGAAAAATCCTGAGTAGTCAAACTAAACAACCTGATTTTAAAGCCTTGACTCAAGATAGAATTCTTTTACTAAAATAAAAGGAATGCCACAGTAATTTTTTTTAAATTTTGTTAAAAATTTCCCATGATACAGGCAAAAATTTATGCTAGTTTACAGAATGCATTCCAGGAACATCTTGTTGAATCTGCATCAGATGTGTATGTGTTTTAATTTAGCACACAGTTATTGGATGCTCACTGATGTATTTAAACTACAAAACACTATGAGATGGGTATAGAGCTTAAATAACTATGAAAGATAAGTGGTAAAACCAGGATTTGGAGGTGGCATTCTGGTGCAGGATGACGGCCTCAACCTTGACTATACTTCTCAGTTTCAAAAACATTGTGTTTGCCAGTAAGGTACATATACATAAATACACGTAAACATTATTTCAACGAAATAAAAATCTTTAGTAGGACAATGAATAGTCACATTTGTTTCACTTTTACATGGATGCTAAAATCCACATAAATTTTATTTTTAATATACAAGTGTTTAATATTACATAGCCATGTAATTGAAAAATGTAACAAATGTTAAGGTAAATGAAAGTACCTTAATAATTAGTAGGAAGTAATTTGTAATGAAAACAAAAACCCACCCTTACGTTGTTTCAAATGTTATTGTCTGAGATTGGGTAGATAAGAGTAAGTTATTGTCCACCAGAGTTCATCAAGAGGTGAGCCCAGGTGTTGGGACCTACAAAAAGCAAGCCAAGGCCAAGACTTTAAGCTTCAGCAACCGAACTGTGCTTGCATTTCTCGCATGAAATCCGGTGGCTCTTTTCCTATCCTACCAGTACAGAAAGCACTTCTGTCCTGTCTATCACTCTTAGTTTCAGAGCCTCAGAAGGGTAAAACTGGCTGCCTGTGAGCGGCAGAACTTTGAGGGAAGACAAGTGTCCACTGGTTTAATTACGAAGGTTCATATGTCCAACTACTAACAAAGCCTCTTTTGGAGCCAGCTCCCCATACTGTTGGGTAAAAGGAAGCAAGGTGCTGGTATAAATGAAGAGGCAACCTACCCCGTACTGGGCAGGCAGAATTCGGCTAGAGTCTGTGATTTCGCTGCAGGAGCAGTGTTATCACAAGCATGGGCTTTGGAGTCAGATGACATGACAACTTAAAATGCTGAATTATTACACGAGAAAATCCACCTAGAGAACACAGGAACTTGACATCTTTCGGATTCTTTTTGTTTCCAATCGTGTTATTTAGGTGCTGGGGATTGAACCCAGGGCCTTGTGCATGCGAGGCAAGCACTCTACTAACTAAACTATATCCCCAGCCTAAGTTATCTTATTTATTAAGGGTTTCTCTTCCTGGGAGCAAGCGTGAATGTTGAAAACTCAGCATCCACTGAGCACATTCAGGCCCGCTGCAGCGGTGCTTTCAGGCCCAGGGGTATTAGTATGAGCGGCTATGTAAATGAGGACTAGAAGTTTGCGCTTCTGATTGGAGGAAGTCGGCGCAGGCGTTTCCTTTGCTAGCGCTCTAGTTGGGCGCCGACTCCGTCTGTCATTGGCCCGCAGAGCCGCGGCGCCCAATAGGAAGGCGTTGCCTAGTGGCCACCGAGAGTTTCTAGAGGCAGTTCGGTGTGGTAGGCTGCATTCCCCTAGCGATCCTGCTGGTGTGATTTCCCTCACTGGAGTTTCAGGCGAGAAGTGAACATGTCCGGTCGTGGAAAGCAGGGTGGGAAAGTGCGGGCAAAAGCCAAATCCCGCTCCTCCCGCGCGGGCCTGCAGTTCCCGGTGGGCCGAGTGCATAGACTACTGCGCAAAGGTAACTACGCGGAGCGAGTAGGCGCTGGGGCGCCCGTGTACCTGGCGGCGGTGCTGGAGTACCTGACGGCCGAGATCCTGGAGTTGGCTGGCAACGCGGCGCGTGACAATAAGAAGACTAGGATAATCCCTCGCCACCTGCAGCTGGCCATCCGCAACGACGAGGAACTAAACAAGCTGCTGGGGAAAGTGACCATCGCTCAGGGCGGCGTCCTGCCCAACATCCAGGCTGTGTTGCTGCCCAAGAAGACCGAGAGTCAGAAGGTGAAGAGCAAGTGACCCTGACGCCACCATGGGAAAGCTGACTTCCCCAGCCGAGGCTCTTTCCAGCGCGGTCCCGCAGTGTTTTTTGATTGTGCTGAATGTCATGGAGGGCCAGTACGATCTAGCGGGGAGAGGGGCAGTGAGGAGCCCGCCGGAGTCGGGAGCCAATAAAGTCGGTGAAAATCCAGTAGTCGAGAGAGCTGTGTAGTCGCGGGACCTACCGGATGACCGGGGTAGGGGGTGGGGGCGCGACCGGAAACCTCTGGAGCAGGTACTGGTCAGTCGGCTGGAGCCCCTCGGAACGCTCTGATCCGCAGATGGATCCCCCTAGAGGCGATGAGGGAGGATGGGGGTAACCCAGAGGGTTCCAGTGGTCTGGAGATGGCAGGGTGGGGATCTCCCCTACTTGCATTAAGGCAAAGGAGTGGAGGACTAGGTGCGGTGCGGCCTACTCTGGCATTTTACTTCCCGTTTCCAAGGCTTCAGCCATTTGTAAGCGATCGAGACTAAGCTATAAGGAGAATCATGGGGCTGAGCTGGTTTCGGTTAGGAAGTTGTTTCTGGACATGATTTTCAAAAGATGGAGTAACTTCCCTTTGAAGTGTGGCCCTGGTGACACGGTATCAATTTAAGATTCTTTCTTAATAGCTCTTAACGTTTTTCATGTTCTGGATGTCAAATATCACAACCCAGCACCCTTAGGTTCTCATTTCTTTAAGATGAAGGAAACATTCGGTAATTTGTGTAATACAGAAGTATGAGTCAGGAGGGTGGTAATGTTTTCCTGACACGTTGCATAACAGTGGAATCTTTAATCTGGATTTAGAAATGCTTACAAGCTTTTAAAATTATTTTCTCAAATGTTGGCTTCTTAGTGGTCTTGTCTCCATGTTAGGCTCTTTGGGAAATGACTTGACTTTGCTCAATTACAAAACAAAACAAAACCCTTGCTTTTAAGGATTACACTTACTCAACAAATAACTTACTTAAAATTCCTGTTCTCCATGAAGTAATGACCCCATTCCAGTAACCCTGTAGGAATTGTGATTCTTACTGGCTCAGCATTACTTTAATAAATAAGCAAGGAAAAGTAAGGCCACAGGATTGAAATACGGGGAAAAACACATTGCAGGCTGAGACTCAACACTTAAAAAGTTCAACATTAGTAATTCTCTTCTGCTCTTTGGTTGACCCTTCCATTTCATCCTTCTGAGCAAGCTTCATACTGGCTCACAGGACTCACAAAAAAGATCCCACCTTAAATTTCACATTTATAGGTTCATCTTTTCTGTGAGAGTTGAAGTTGTCCTGGGGGGAGGGTGGGTGGTAAGAAATGGGATAGCAGTGACTGGCCCATTTTCCCTCCTGGACTATTTCATCCCCAATCCTTATTGAACATCTGTGCCATTTTGTGTACTAAGTGATAAGGGTACAGCTATCAATGAGGTCAACCAGACTTATACTCTCTTGGAACTCCCTTCCTCCCCACCCCCCTTAGTACTAAGGACAAGATAAGAAACAAATAAATAATATTATAGATGAGCTTTGGTTAGTACTTGTGTCTTTTGCTGTTTGTTGAGTGGATATTGGAATTACTTTTCCCCTGTGGTCACCTTTGAGTTGTACAAAGATGTCACATGTACATTTTAGGAGGCAGTTATTGCCTCCTAATACCTGAGAAATAGATTCCAATGGCACCATGAGTTGTTCCAGGATTTCCAGTTGTTGACTCTACTCCTTACCTTCCTTTCAAAGGATTTCCTCATATGTAAAATAGTCATGATACCTATTTTGAGGATCAAGACTGTCTACTATATATTTTGAGGATCAAGACTGTCTACGTGCTATATATTAGTTACTTAAATTGAAAGAAGTACCATTTCCTATAAAGGGCGGGTTTCCACTTACAGAATAAGTTATAGATAAGCATGCTACTAGTATTAAAAACAAAAAACAAAAACAGCACAAACTGAATTGTCAGAATTAATTCTCGGTTATACCACTTGGGGGCAGTGAAGCAAAAAAAATTATGTAATTTTACACACACACACACACACACACATATACACATGCACAATCAACCCTCTATTCATGGATGGGTTTCCACATCTATTAATTCAGTCAAATGAGGATAGAAAATATTTAGAAAAAAAATCTGAACATAAAGACTTTTTTTCTTGTTAACATTCCCTAAACAATGTAACAACTACATTGTATTGAGTACTATAAGTAATCTTAAATGCTTTAAATTATACAGGAGGATGTGAATATGTTAAAGAGACTTGGAAGATCTGCAGGCTTGGGTATTCAAAGGGAGTCCTGAGAGTAAACACCTATGGATATTGGAGAGCAATTATATAATATATATAAATAATATCAATTATTTGTAAATGTATATCAGTTTTTTTGACATTCGAGTTGAATTTCCTCAAGATTAGATATGAGGCATCTTAGAGATCTTTACCAAATTATGAAGAATTAAGGATAAAGGCCATCAAAACATTTATAAGAAAAAAACCACTCTGCCTGTGATGATTCATAGCAATCTGTCTAACCTTGTTACTCAAAAAGCAAGATTAAAATACAAAATAGTAACTGCCCTCATCTCCACCCAACTTTCAGAGATTCTTAGGATCCTCATAAACACTTTTCCAGCCTCAAAATTCAACTAACTCCTCGACATTTCTATTTTTGAGAGTTTCTTTAATTGAACAATTTACTAGCAGTTAAAAAGTCATACTTTCTTGCAAAGTCAATTCAGCCTGTGTAACTTGATGAACAAACCATAGTTCTTGAAGTTAATTTAAAAGGCAATAATTTTTCAAGCATGAGACTATATGGAAGAAGACTTAGGATATAAACTGATGAGAATGGATTCAGGTTTTTAATAGATATACAATGCATAGTTTTATTTGCACACATACTCTTTCCTGCAGAGAAAAAACCACTCAGTGTGGCAGGTTGTGACTTGGCCGAGATTTGTTTAGTCTTTGTTTTTCCTGTAGAGCCAGTCTTGACTTTATGTCCCTTAGAACTGGCCAGTTTAGTTTTGTCTGCCCAGAATCTAAAGGTCTAGTTCATCCCATAGTTGGTGATGACTGGCACACTGAATGCAAATTCTTCCCAAAGCCCCTTGCAGTGGTGGAAAAGCCGAATACCATGGTGTTTAAGAACTCAAGCTCTTTAGAATGAGACATAGGTTTAGATCTCCTCTGTCCTTTACTAGTTATCCAACTTTGGAAACATTACTCAATCTCTTTAAACCTTACTTTTATCTATAAAATGGACATAATAATAGTTCACTTCAAGGGGATTTGGGAAAGATTTGGTGAGATGTGAATGAGGACACTAAATTTGCCATATAGAAATGTGCCAAATGCATACTAGCTATTCTTATTTACATATGAAACTGGATTTGAAATGAGTAGCAGTATTTATGGAATCTCTGGAAACAGTTAAATAGACATTTAACAATCCTGTGACTTTTTTGATAGCAAACTATGAAACATTTTTAGTGTCTGTTGTACTAATTACAGAACATCCACAGTTTATAACAGAAAAAGTAAGAAATGGTTAAAGCTTGTGAACCTGAATTTATTTTTTCCCTGAAGACAAAGAGTTAATGGCTTATAAAGTGCATCTACTCAGATTAAAAATGTAAACTGAGCAATATTAATGTGTTACATCTATGATTGGTAGCCATCTTTCAAGAAATTTACTGTTGTAGAAACACATGCTCAAAAGGAATGTAATGATATAACCAGCTACACATAAAGAGAGGGAGATACTAGGGTGTTACTGGAACAGGGAACAGGTGCCTGTGTTAGCCTAGTAGCAACACTAGCAGGTGGGGAGAGTGGCATCTGAACTAGATCTAGGTGTAAGTTAATCTGAGAAGTGGCTGTGCACAAAGCTACAGGGGTCAAAAGACAAAACTTGTAGTTGTCTTGTGTGTGAGCATGTTGCTGGGGTTTAAACCCAGAGCTTTGTACATGGTAGGCAAGTGTTCTACTACTGAGCTCTACTACTACCACAGCCCTGGCATCTGTATTTGAATTTGAATCTAAGAATAAGATTGACTAAAAATGGCTAGAGTAGATAAATCATCCAGGAGGAATGTACAAATGTATAAATGAATGTATGGAAAATAGCCACAGCCATCAGGGGGTTGGGGGGGTCTAAAAGATTTAGTGGATTGGCAGAGGAAGGAAGGGGAGAAGACATGGCTGACAACCAGGACAGAAAATGTCAAGAGATAGAGCTGTTTTTTCATAATTTGGATTTCTGTACTCCATGCCACCTCCTAGTGCTTACACTTTCTCATATAATTAGAAAATAGTCTTTTAAAAGTTACTAGTTTTCCACACATGGAACATGCTGACAAATGAGCTGCCTCACTTTACTAATTGAATTGGAATAGAGATGAATTTTTGCCCTTTACATTTTTATATTACATACAGAAATATGAAGGATCCATGGCAACAGTGAAATGTGAAAAATGTCTTTTTAAAAAGTCAAGAAGAGGGATTGAGGGTGTAGCTCAATGGTAGAACTCTTGCTTAGCATGTGCAAGGCCCTGATTTCAACACTCAGCACTAAAAATAGTCAAGAAGAATATTGGTAAGAACATCTTTGATATCCTTTATTATCATTCAGTTGAATATAATTTTTACATATGTTTTCATTTTAAGGGAGTTTTAAAAGTTGGTAACTTACTAATTCATAAAAAATAATGTAGGCATTTTAGAATGTTGAGAACATGAAAAATTTGATGCTGACAAACCATTGTTTTCTAAAATCAGGTAAATGATGAGCTTCCTGAGAGAGGGAAATGAAGAACAAGAGGAACAACACACAAAGAAGAATAAGAAACATAACCAGCCCTGGGCAGATATGAAATTATCACTGCAAAGTTCTCTATATCAGGAGAGGAAAGAAAGTTTGTTGTGGAAAATCAGATTTTTATATATACATATATGAAAGAGAATTATAGCACATTTGGAAAGTAATTTGTATCCTTGATACTCTTATCAAGCTGTGTAATTTAAAAAGCCAGCACTGCTTAACCTCAAAGTATAGATTCAAAGCCAGGATGAACCTTACACTCAACAAAATTACCTTTTTTTTAAACAAGCAAAACAAAACAAATCTGTTCATGGGGATTTGATTCAGTTTCTGTTTCAAACGAAC